TTCAAGAAGCAGAAAGCGCCGAGGCGGAACCTACCAACATGACCAGAGAAGAACTTGCTGTTGCATCTTACCGCGTCTTCGGTGAAGCAGACAAGGCCTACGAGCTAGAACGATCGGAAATGGCAACGCCCTATTCGGACAACCTTCGATTTGTTATGGAGGCCAACACCACAACCAAAGACGAGGAAGGACGTGAGCGCCCATACACCCGCGAAGTTTACCGCCACCACATTGATCCTGCTTGGAAAGATCCCGACGCACCAGAGGAGCTGAGCGTCAAAGAAGAACAGGATAAGGCCCAGGAGGAGAAGAGACAGAAGCTGTATGAGGAGCGCATCGCGGCAGGATGGGACGAAGAGTCAGCACACGGAGGATGGGGCAACGAGAATGCCAACCCAGAACCCGGCGCAACCTGGGCATCCGCCACTGGAGCATGGGGAGCTAGCACCAGCGGCACTGTTACCACGGGAGGATGGGGAACAGTCGAACCCAACGAAGAGGAGCTCACGCAAGAGGAATTGGAGGAAGCTGAACGAGAAATGAGAGTTGAGCGTGGCGAAGAAACACCCCGGTTGCCATTCCCCTCGGCCGACCCCCACGCACAGGTGAACCACCTCGCTCACTCATCGCTAGAGCGATCCCTGGTCGGAGATTGAGGAGGGGAATGTACCACCAACTCCTCCTCGGGACTCTCTTGGTCCAATCTCCCGCCCAAATCCGTTTGCTCGTTTCATCGAAGGCATCATGACCCCGCTCACCATCATCCCCGACCGCGAGTTTCTCGCGCTCTACCTCACAACGGCACTTGCAGAAGGGGAGACAACGGCGGAAGCAGCAGAAGCAGAAGCAGAGATAGAGGAGCCGGCTAGCAAAGCAGAACCAGGAGAAGAGGAAGAACCCTCACTCCAGATCCCGCAACTCACGGCGGAGGAGGCACCAGAGCATCACACTCCCTACAAGTGTACCTCCGGCATTCGCGCCGAAGATGATCTCTGGCACCAGCGGATGGGACACCCCTCGCGCTAGACACTCGCCAACTGCCTCCGCGCTAAAGTCTTTCCGCCAGGAGCACTGCTGCGCCCCAACGGAATGGAGTTACAGCACACCATCCCCCATCCAACCACTTGCACTGTCTGTCCCACAGCTGCACTCTCCCACACCGCCTATCCCTCTCTGGAGCCGAGCACCAACCGCTACAAAAAGTTGGAGAAAGTGTACAGCGATTTCATCGTACTCACCTGCGACGGCATCAACGGCGAGAAGTATACTCTCACCTTCATCGACGCCTACTCACGCCACGTGTGGATCGCCAACGTCGATGCCCGCTCCAAGGCTCCGGAGGTGTTCCGCATCTTTCTCGCACACGCGCAGCGGACAGTCGGGGAGGAAACTGAAGATCTGGCAGAGTGACGGGGTAAAGGAATTTTGGAGCAATGAGCTGGAGAGCGTCCTCACCAAGAAGGGGATTAAGCATGAGATTTCTCTCCCCTATGCTCACCAGGAGCAAGGTGTCGCCGAGAGGGTCAATCGCACGCTCATGACCAAGGTCCGCGCCATCATGAACCAGTCCGACCGGCCAAAGAAAATTTGGCCCTACGCCATGAACCACGCGGTGCGCCTGCACAACCACCGCCAACAGGGATAACCTGTCCCCTCACATGAAGTGGACCGGCTCAAGGGGAGACCCCTCCATGCTGAGGGTTTGGGGGTGCATGGTGCAATACCGGCCGACCTCGGCAACAATCGGCAAGTTCGCTCATCGTGCGCGCTGGGGAGTTCATCTGGGACTCAGTCACGAGCACAAAGGCTGGCTCATCTTTGACATTGGCAGCAACGAGATCGTTCCTGCACGTGACAACCTCTTCTATGAACGACTCACCCTGAAGCAATGGATCGAGGACGAGCGCCGAATCCAGGCACGCGGCTATGTCAACAGCGGCCGCAGCTTCGCGACTCCAGAAGACGCAGCAGCAGCGGCAGTACTGGACCGCGACGACACCGACGAACATCCCAGCATCCCGCCTCGCCCGCGCGACGACGACGACGATGACAGCGATGACGACCCCGCACCAGGACCATCACGGCGCCAAGCAGAGCCAAGCACCGCAGCACCCGGCTATGAGAGCGGAGACGACGACGTGGTGGAAGTCCCCACCAACACCGACACCACCAATGTGTCAGGCCTTCAACTTCTCGGCCTGCACACATTCGTCTCTACTCTTGCACGGGCCGTGGAGCCAAAGAATCCTCGTCAGGCCCTAACCGGCCCTCACACCAAGAAGTGGCGTGCTGCGATGGATGCGGAGCTAAAGGCACTGGAATCGCGTGACACCTGGGTCCTAGTCGATCGTGCAGTAGTGAAGGGGAGGGGGGTGCTCAGCGGGAAATGGGTCTTTGCCTGAAAACTAACGCTGACGGCACTATCGAGCGCTTCAAGGCATGCTGGGTCGTACGCGGGTACGATCAGCGTCACGGCATCGACTTCGATCAAACCTTCGCTCCCGTGAGTCGCCACACCTCAGTCCGCATTCTACTCACCATTGCCACCGCGAAGCACCTGCCACTGCGACAGATCGACGTAAAGAACGCGTTTTTGTACGCGTTGGTGGACGCCACCATCTTTGTGGAGCAGCCGCGAACCTACGAGGAAGGTGATCCCAGGGTCTGTCAACTGAAGAAGTCCCTCTACGGGATCAAGCAGGCGCCTCGCCTCTGGCAGCAGCACCTGCACAAAATTCTCCTCGAAATCGGCTTCAAGCAGCTCCCACACAACCCGGGAATGTATCGTCTTCACTTCAGTGGCGACTACATCCTCCTGACAGTCTACGTCGATGACCTGCTGTACACGGGCACCTGCAACAAACTCCTGGATCAGTTTCAAGAGAAAGTGACGCAGCGCGTAGACATCACCATCAACCTTGAAGTTAAGCAGTTTTTGGGGTTAAACATCACTTACGCGCCAGAGGCAATCCATCTATCAGCCTCCAAGTACGCAGAGCAGCTGGGAAAATGCTTCAACATCTCTCCCGCACCACTCTCAACTCCCTACCGCAACCCCATCACCAACTACAAACCGGACAACAAACCACTGTCACCCGTAGGACTCCAACTATACCAGCAACAACTGGGTTGCCTGCTGTTCGCCTCTGTTACCTGCCGACCCGACCTTTCGTACATCGCTAGCCAACTGGCGCAGTATTCTCGCAAGCCAATAGCTGAGAACCAGCTGGACCTGGAACGCGCCCTACAGTACTTCGTCTCCACACCTGACATTGGGCTCTCCTACTCCACGCTGACGACGACCTCCTTCAACCTCAACGCCTACGTGGACGCAGATCATGCAGCTGATCCTGCAAATCGACGGTCCCTAACCGGCTTCGTTTTTTGCCTGGAACCAACTGGGCCAATCTCCTGGAACTCGCAGAAGCAGGAGCTGGTTGCCCTGTCATCGGCCGAAGCAGAATACATCGCCGCGACAGCAGCAGTTCGCGAAGGCCTGTACCTGCAAGAGCTGTTACAGGAAGCAAAAATTCCAACCTCGCCTACCTTTCGCCTTCATTGCGACAACCAGAGTGCCATCAGGATCGCGAACAAGCCTGGTTTCGTGAACCGCACGAAGCACATCGCGCTTCGGTACTTTTTCGTCAAGGACGAAATTGACCAAGGCAAAGTTGACCTTGCCTACTGCCCGACCACTGAGATGGCAGCAGACTTCCTCACCAAGCGCCTGCCACGTCAGCAGTACAAGCACTACTCTGACCTCACCGGAGTGGTCAAGCGAATCAGCTCCTCCTGCGCCCAGGAATGAAGGGGAGTGTTACGATATGAAGTTTTATGAGTAAGTCATTCCTGTATGCTGCAGGAGCCGACTCTACCGAGTACGAAAGTCGAGGATTCAGAAGAGTCGAAGCGACGCAGCAACCGTCTGACCAAGACCGATGCGGGCAGGAACATTTGAAATGAAAAGAGCGGGAACAGGTTCAAAACGGGTTCCCGCGCCGCACGGTTTAAATTTGCTGTAATAAGGGAATGTACCCCTTAGAGTACATGGCTAGTCTAGGTCTTTTCGTATTCCCATGTACTCTTATATAAACTTGATGTATGCATGTTATTATCAACTCAGTCATTTACATTCACTCTGACCTGAGATTCAAATCTTCCGCTGCAACACTACTCTGCGATCAACCCTGAGCGATCCTTCTCTAAGTCCCACTTGGGATTGTAATAAGGGGTACACACAACTTGTCGACACTTTGCTTTTGTACCTCTTCCTTGACCTAGTCCCACCATTCCACGTTAGAATCTTAGGGTGTATTCTCGGCTTCGTGTCATCCCGTATTTGTGTCATCGGAAATTGTGGGAGCCAATTGGTAAACCAACGTTTTGAGATTTGATTTTTCTGATTGGATCCCACAATTTCGGATGACACGAAGTCAGGAATACGCCCTTAACATACTCTTGCTAAATTCTGATCATTGTACTGCTTGTAATTTTATAACTCCGCATGTGAACTGGCCTTGTTGCTGCTTGCTTGTACTCAGACTGCGTGGTGATCTTAAGATGAGATCCACCCTGAGCTTGCTTCTTTCTCTTGACTGGTCTTGTGGCCACTTGCTTGACTTGGTTTTTTTATGCCTCTCACTTAGGCTATGGGGGTGTGTCAAAGTTATATACGGTAATATTTCTTTGTTAGCCTATAGTGAGAGATGCATCTCAAGGGGTACCAGTTTTCTCTCGACATTTGACTTGTACTCCCTCCTTGACCCAATCCTTTCATCCGTTCCTTAGTCTTCTAACAGTTTCAGTCTTCATACTTCGTCTTTGAAAGTTCCTCCTAACCGCTTCATCTCAACCCCAACAGCACCAATTCTACGAGCACAACTTCCTCCTAGCCACCAACAAAACAGCCAAGCCATGCAATGCAATTCTACCACAAATAACGGTCTATTTTCAATCCATACATATCTTCGAGCCCACGAGGCTCCAGAACTTCATTCCACTCAGGGCACACATTCTTGCAACTTCCAATATTCAATAGGTAATTGCAGCATCTTCAACTCCGTGAGATCCTCTGGGAGACGCTCCAGCTGTAGACAACCGCGCACACTAAGACAGCGCAGCCTGGTCAATTGCGCAAACCCAGAAGGAATGCAGCGCAGGCCGGCGTTTTCCACATGTAGCTGGTGGAGGCATGCAAGCTGGGTGAGGGAAGCGGGCAGGTGGTGCAGAGTGGGGCAGTCAAAGAGGTGCAGCTGGCGCAGGCGGGATGCAGCGCCAATGCTGTCCAGCAGCTCCCTCAATTCCCGCGCACATTGGATCTGCAGAACCCTCAGCTGCGGCACAGCCCATCCCATGTCGCTTGGAAGCCGCTGCATCTTCCCCGCGTTCCACATGACGAGTGTGTGCAGCTGGGGGAGCAGCACAAGGGACAAGGGCAGCTCCACAGCCTCCTTCTGCAGCTCCAGCTCCACCTGCTTCACGCGCGCCAAGCTGCTGCCCACAGCCATCCTCTCCTCCGCACCAACCAGATTCAAGGAGAGCTTTCTCAGCCAAGGCAGCACGTGGTAGATCAGCCACGTGGTAGCTGTTCCCAAGACTCAAGACCTCAAGGGAGAGTGGCAGGCATGTAGGAGGCTCAGTATGATCGGGGCACCCAGTCAACTCCAGCCATTTGAGCCTCCCAAGGCTGTCTAGCCTCCTGGGAACCGAGACGAGCTTCACACAGTCATCAACCGTAAGGGTTTCAAGGCGTGCCGTCTGCGCAGCCCGTGCCGAGCTCTACCTGCCAGTGGGCGGCCCCAGGCAGCGGCGCACGCCACCCTACCGCCGCCACGGCCTCGCCCTGCCGCCGACATGGCCCCACCCTGCCGCTGACACGACCCGGCTCCGCCACTAACACGACTCGGCCCTGCCCTGCCGCCGAAACGGCCCCGCCCTGCCGCTGACTCGACCCGGCTTTGCCGCTGACACGACCCGGCCCCGCCCTGCCACTGACTCGACCCGGCCCTTCACTGTAGCCGCTGTTGCGGCCTCGCTGTCGCCGCCGTCGTGCGCCGACCCTGCCGCCGTCCGCCGAGCACCAGCCCTGCTCGCCCGGTGAGGGCCTGCTCTTCCCGCCACTAGTGAGCCCCTACCTTGCTAGCACGCTGCTGCGCCACCTGCCTGCCTGCCAGCCTGCCTCCCGGCCTGCCTGCCTGCCTGTCGGCCTGCCTGCCTGCCACCTGGCCTGCCTACCTGCCTGCCTGCCTGCCTGTCGCGCCTGCCCTGCTGCTACGGATGTTATTGCTGCTACTGCTGCTACTACTGCTCCTGCTGCTACTGGCGGAGGCCAGATGCAGCTCCAGCGACGTCCGCGTGAGTCCCTCACGCCCCCGCAGCTGAATGAGTGGTACGCTAGTTGGGGTTGTAGGGGTGGCCATGCTGCTACTGTTCCTACTACTGCTGCTGCTGCTACTGGCGGTGGCCAGATGCAGCTCCAGCGACGTCCACGTGAGTCTCGCACGCCCCAGCAGCTTTATGGGTGGTACGCTCAGAGTAGAGGGTCTCTCAGTTCTGTTCGCTGCTCTTACGTCATTCGCACTGGTGCTCGAACTAGTCAGCCTTGCGGGACGCTTAGTCACACACAGTCCCGCTGCTTCGCCCGTCTGAGCGACGCATGGCGTACCGAGTTTGACGACGAGGCTGAGCTCCCCGACTGGGCAGAGAGTAAATATATTTGCTCTTGACTATGATGCTATTCTCACTGCCATGTATGCATTGCCTACTAGTGCTGACCGTGCCTGTTACCTGTGCGTACCGCCTGACCCAGGTATAGAGCCTGCTACTCTAGGTGCTGGTGACGCTGCTCCTCTAGGTGCTAGTGCGTCTCCTGCTCTAGGTACAGGTGAGGCTGCTGTTCTAGGTGCTCGTGCGTCTCCTGCTCTGGGTGCTGGTGAGGCTGCTGCTCCAGGTGCTGGTGAGTCTGCCCTCTCTGGTACTTTGCCTGCTGTGACCTTGCACACCTTCACCCTTGACTCAAGAGCTTCCCGCTCCGTCTTTCGCGACTGCACCACACTCACGCCGCTTAGTCGGCCAGTTGCAGTCTCCCTGGCAGACCCCTCTGGGGGTCGAGTCCTTGCCCATAGTCACCACACTTCACGGTTCTGCCGTGCCCAGTCGCCCCGTCTGGCTTGCTGTCAGGTCTCTACCTCTCCTCGTTCTCTACGAACCTGGTGAGTGGAGCTGACCTCCAGGATGGGGGGGTTGACCAGTTCACTCCTGCGCGTCAGCGAGTGACTCACTGTACGGGTGCTCGGACGGGCCGACACCTGGCCACGCTTACCCGTGAGCCTGTACACCTTGACCACTGAGTCCCCTCAGGTAGCTGCGTCTGCGTCTGCGTCAGGTCAGTTGTCGGCCCCCTGCTCGTGTCGCGCCTTGTCGCACCATACCCTCCTTTGGCACCACCGCCTTGGTCACCCCTCGGTGCAGCGCCTTCGCAGCATGCACCGCCGTGTCCTTGTGTCTGGTCTTCAAAGGGTTCTCCCTCCCCTCCCACCCTCGCGTGCTCCTCCCTGTCTTCCCTGTGTCGAGGGGCGGCAGCGCGCCGCTCCTGACTCCTCCTCGTTCCCTCCCACAGAGGCTCCCCTGCAGAGTCTCCACCTGGACGTGTGGGGCCCAGCCCGCATCCGTGGACAGGGCCACGAGCGGTACTTCCTGCTGGTCGTCGACGACTACACGCGTTACACCACGGTCTTCCCCTTGCGCACCAAGGGTGAAGTCCCTGGTGTTTTGATCCCCTGGATCCGCGCTGCTCGTCTCCAGATCCGCGAGCAGTTCAGGACGGAGTTTCCCGTTCTTCGTCTGCACTCTGACAGTGGTGGTGAGTTTTCCTCCGACCTCTTGGCAGCCTTCTGTGAGGAGCACGGCATCACCCAGTCGTTCACGCTTCCGGCCTCTCCGCAGCAGAATGGGGTTGCTAAGCGTCGCATTGGCTTGCTCATGGAGGTCGCTCGTACCTCCATGGTCCATGCGGCGGCCCCCCATTTTCTGTGGCCGTTTGCGGTCCGGTACGCCGCGCATCAGCTCAACCTCTGGCCAAGTGTCTCCTTGCCGGAGACCTCGCCCACACTGCTGTGGACGGGGAAGTTTGGCGATGCGTCGCGTTTCCTGGACTGGGGTTCTCGTGCCTTTGTCCGCGATACCACGGCGGACAAGCTCTCCGCCCGCGCTGTTCCCTGTGTCTTCCTTGGTTTTGTCCCTGACGCACCCGGTTGGCAGTTCTACCACCCCACCTCGCGCCGTGTCTTCCCTGTTGATTGTGTAGGTGGTTGTGGTATTTTGCTCTAGCTGGTTGTGGGCTAAGGGTTTGGGCAAAATATGGTGGTTAGACTTGTTGCGGGCTGGAATTGATCTCGCACCCAACAAGCACCAACAAACCTTTGCTATTCACTACAACACCTTTGGTGTTGCTAGTTTAGCACTTTGGGTTGTTGGGGATTGTTGTAGGGCGAAGGTTGGGTTGGTAGGGTTTGAACAACTTGTCACTTTTTAGATCTGAACTCTTGCTAAAGCTAGTCTCTTGATCTAATCCATGGCTGCCTATTAATTCCGCTAGAATACACCATTGCACTTAGATCGCGATAGCGATCGGCCTAGATCTTGGTTGAAAGCGTGCGTTACCATTCTGGAAAGTAGAGATTAAGACCTTTCCAACGTGTACCTGCTCATAGTTTAAGGTTACGTGAGCTGCACACAATGTTCCGTCGAAGTCGGCGGACTTAATCTCTTGTACGCTCTCCAGATTTGCTCGCTTCCCATCAGTGGTATCTGAGCTGGTTAGGCCTGCGACATTCCCTCCTATTATTATATTTTGAATTGGCTTAAGAACCTCCAGATCTAGGGTTGGTTATGGCCCAGAAATTAGATGGCCCTCCTAGGTTCACCGGCTCGGATTTTTCGCTATGGCGGTTCCAGTTTACGCTTTGGCTAGGTATTAAAGACCGAGAGGGCGTTTTGGAGGGATCGGAGCTAAGACCTGAAGCTGATGAAGGAAAGGCATCTACTGGATTCTCTAGCCAAGTGGGAGAAGGGGCTGGGGGAGCCTCTAGCTCATCCATAACTGAGGGAAGTGGAGGTGGATCAGCAGCACCGCGAACCGGAAGGCAACAACTTAGTGCGGAGGAGCTTCTTAAGGCACAGGAAGCATGGGACCGCAAGGACAAGCAAGCATTCCAGTACCTGTGTTGGGCCTTGGAAGGCCAGCTAGAGCTCTTAAAGATGCTGATTGACCTGAAGGGCAAGCAAGGAGCAACTGCACTAGCATGGAAGAGAGTTCAAGATCGACATTTGCAAAAAGGGTTGTTAAGCATACTCACTTGGAAGAAGCGGTTCTACACCATGGAACGCGACTATGGCGATGGGGAGACCATGGTGCAGTACCTCCAAAGGGTGGATGAGTATGTGAGGGCATTGGAGGAGCTGAACTATGGAGTAGATGAGAAGGAGATCATCTACACCGCACTCCAGGGGCTGGACCAAGAGGCGAACGAGGCCCTACTGCAGTACCTTCACCTAGAGCAGCAGAAATGGACCAAGGCCTAGATATGGGAGGTGTTGGTTTCTGATGAGGCTCGCAAACGTGATGCTGGTAGAGGAATTGAAGGAGGAATGGGGGCAGGTGATAGGGCTGCCTCCAAGAAATACCAGCAGCGGCACGTAGGTGGGGGGAAGAAGAAGGAGCTTGACAAGTGCCTCGTCCCTGGATGCAACCGGAAGCACTCTTGGAAGGAGTGCTGGAGCCGACCAGATGGGTGGAAGCCTCAAGGGTACCCAGGAGAGGCTCCACCTATCACTAGGCATGAGTAGGTGGAGAGGAGGATGAAAAATAAACATTAACAAGAAGGGTAGCAAAGAGAAAGCGGCAGCAGCGGCGGCAAACGAGGATAAGAAGGGAAAGGAGGACTTATCGGATGATGGCTTCTCCTTCTTATCCTTAGAGAAGGAGACGGCGCTTGCTGGTCGTACGTCGGCTGACCCGAATCAGCTCATTCTAGACTCTGGAGCAACCTGTGGAATGGTACCTCGGCGCGACCTCTTTACCACTTATCACTCCCTCCCACCTAACTCCAGAAATGTGATTGTGGGGAGCGGAGATACGCTGCAAGCAATCGGCATTGGCACCATCACCGTCATGGGGAAGGAGGGGGAGGTGCTGAATGTGAAGGGTGTGCTTCATGTTCCTGAATTGGCAGCCAACCTTCTCTCATGCTCTCAGCTTGCAAGGCAAGAATACATATGCACCTTCACCATGGAAGGTGGCACGGTTCGCAAGGGTGAAGTTGTGGTGATGGAGGCCAAGTTAGAGAAGGGTCTATACCTTGTTCCAGTTTGTGTGCCTCAGGGGGAGAGGGCACATGGTGTTGAAGCCAAGGAAGCTGCTTGTAGCACCCGTTGGAGGGACGTGGAGCAGGTGACGGCAGATTTGCTGCACCTACGCATGGGGTATGCGGGAAGGCAGCAACTTGTGGAGTGTGTGAAGAAGGGGGAGCTGAAGGGTGTGGAGATCAAGGAGGGTGGTGGGCAGCCAAGCAAGTGCCCTGATTGCACTACCGGGAAGCTGCCAAGGACCTCTTTCCCTACCTCCACCACTAGAGCCTCCGCACCTCTTGAGTTGGTGCACACGGATGTGTGTGGCCCCATGCAAACACCGGATAGGGAGAAAGGCAGCAAATACTTCATCACCTTCTTGGATGACTTAAGCCGCCTAAGTTGGGTTACCTTGGTGAAAACCAAGGATGAGGTGGCCAAGGTGTTCAAGCGTTGGATACGCTATGCGGAGAGGGAAGCCGGGGCCAAGGTGAAAATACTTAGGTCC